TCTCTCTCTCTCTCTCTCTCTTGAACCCTTACTACAGACTTCCCCGATTTTGCGACGCCCCCATTGAAAAACCCTTGAGGTGGGCAAGAAATGGACCAGGCAGTCTTGCTGCTTCGGCAGCAGGAGGAGGAGCTCACTGCGTGTCTGGACAAGCTGCGAGGACTGACGTTGAGCCGATGCTTGGTTTTACAGCTTGGGCCGCTTGGAGGGTTGAGGGAACTTAGTAAGTAGGTTAATAGTGGAGCTAACTAGGGCTACTCTATGGAGCCCCATATGGCTTCTAGGAGTTGTACGTATGCTTACTAACTCCACCTGACCCCCGAGCATCCTATCGTGGACGCGGATTTGCTCATTGATGGGATGACTCTAAACCCTAAACCCTTAAACCCTGCAGCCTGAATCGTGCATTGGGTAGGACATGATGAGCTTCCGCCCCGGTCGTTGCGCAGCCCCAGTGCTGAGCCTGATGCTGTGTGGCCCTGGCATGAGAGGGCGACAGAGTAATGTGAGCTATAGTCTAAACTCCTTAAAGGGGTTATATAGGGGATTGCATGGGGGAGTGTTATAGGGGTTGTTGAGGGTATTGTGAGCTATAATCTAAACTCCTTAAAAGGGGTTATATAAATAGGCGATTACATAGGGGAGTCTTATAGGGGTTGTTGAGGGGATGCTAGGAGTCTAGACTGTAGCTTATGTGTGGGGGTTTCCCAAAATTAGGGAAATTGTACCGTAATATTGGAGACCCACATGGAACAGCACATGGAATATGAACTGGACACTGGAATAATTGTAGTGGATGTTGGGAATTTGGATTTCCAAATTTAGGGGTCCCTTTTAAGGGGCCCTGAAAACACAGATCATGGTATTTTGGGTTTTGTATTGGGGTTGTTTCGACATCCCTATGTAGACTCATGATTCACGCATACATCAGGGGTTATAAAAGGAGACCTCCAATACTTCGGTCCCTATGGAGCTGGGGTTCACTGCTCCGGGGTCTATATCGGCCCCCTTGGTGGGGGTATCTCATAATTGCTGAAGTATGCTACACTTGAAGAGCATGGTCGAATTCATCAGCTTCCTGCATGATACCCTAAACTCTAAACCTTAAGCCGCAGGTCCTACAGCAAGGATCCTGAAACTTTGGTACTTGGGGATATGGGCCTCAACATGCTAAAGATGGTCATTATAGGACTTCCCAAGCAGGGGCCCGCAACTTGGGAAACCTAAGCCCTCATCCCTACACCCCATCTGTTTCTATCTCATACCTCTCTGCAGTCCTAATGAGCCATAATCTAAACTCCTAGTATTCCCTAAACGAGGCAACCCCCTTCAAGGAGTTTAGAGTGCAGCTTATACGTCCCTTCTAAAGCAGCGCTACTTTTGGATATGCGCAGGAGTTGCATGTCAGGTATCCAGAAAGCCTGGCTTCATCACCCAACTTGGAGCACGGCGCCCCAGACCTTAGTTGCTGGTGTCTAGTGGGCAAAGAAGGAATGGAAAAGAAGATGGCAGCATATATATATATATAAATATACACATAAAAAAAGCTATAGTCTGAACTCCTCAAAGGGGGTGCAAACAGGGGATCATATAGGGGACTCTTATTCGGCGTCTTGGGAGGATACTAGGAGTTTAGACTTTAGCTCATATTGTTGTGGATAATGTAGGGGCTACAGTTGCCAGCTTAGATTCCTTCCTTTTTCTCTACCGACAATCAATACTTGAAGGGCCAGGAGGACCGAGTAAATAGTTTTGATTTTGGGGATAACTGGCATTTTTCAATTTTTCATTAACCCTAAACCCTAAACCGTAAACCCTGAACCGCATACTTACTGCGTCTCCCCCAACCCCCCAGGCAAACCTCAGGGAAGTGTGTGCGTGATTGGGCTTGGAAAAGGACGTAGATTGGGTAGTTTAGATGGCATGTTTGGTGCTTCTAAGAACCTTGTAGGGTTGTAACCGCCAGTAAAAGTATCGCAGTTACATGGCACCGGAAGGCTAGACAATCATTTGAAGCTGATTCCCTTGATTTTACATACCCCTGCTGCCTTGCACCAAATGTGCCCCGATATTTGGAAATTTCCTTGTCTAGCAGTGGAATTGTTTTACCCAGAGGGCCCGAAACCTCCAACCACCAACCCTTAGCTCTTGGTGACGTTGGGGTTCTTTCCAGTGCCATCTTTGTAGAAGTTATCTTTAGAGGATCATAAAGACATGCGCTTTTGAGCAATGCCCCTAGTTTGTAAGAAACCTTAGGAAACGATCCTGAAGCCAACACATCAACCCTAGACCCTAAACCTCTAGCCGCCAATCCTAAACACACTGTAGTCTCCCTTAGGTAGATAAAACATGGGGTATCTGAGGATCTTATTATAACATACCCAAAGCCATATTCTGTCTAGTTAAGGGGGAGTATAACCCTAAATCCTAAACCCCTAGGCCCCTTCACTCAGAGCACAAAGTCCTCAGCGGGCCACTTAATTTGGAGCCACCATTCTTCGAGGAGACTTCTATCATCCGAGTCATGTGCCACACCCTCAACCCTAAACCCTTAATAGTAGTTTTCATTCTTATCCATTATTCCAATAATATACCCCTATAGAACCCTTCTAGCCCCTGTATAACCACAGCAGCCCCGAGGGCACACACCTTCAAAAAGCCGAGCATGTGTGTAGTTTTTTTAAATTATCGTCCCCAATATGAGCCATAGTCTAAACTCCTTAAACGGGGGCCATATAGGGTATTATACAGGGGGCTATGGGGATACTAGGAGTTTATACTAGGAGTTTAGACTATAGCGCATATAGACTGAGATGATTGCTTCCTTCCTTTTGGGTATGAGATTTCACAGGAGGAAAAGAATCTTACAGGTTCAATCACCTAAGCCCAAAGCCCTAAACCTTTTGTGAGCTGGGATTGGAGCCTGGTTAACGGAGAGAAGGTCCGATAAAAACAACTTACACCCTAAACCCTAAACCTTATTATTACGAGGTTCACTCACCAAAAAAGGGCGGTACTCAAGTGAGGACCGGCGATGGCCCCATGCTGGGCCAGGCTTTTTCTCCAGGCGGGCTAGGGTTCAGGGTTGCTAATGTATCTTGAGGGTGCAAGTTTGCGGACGTGTAGTTGGGGAGCATCGGCAACATGAAAAAAGATAGGAAAGGGGCGAGGTATACGCATGCAGGTACGTAGACGAATGTTTTAGAGAAGTCTGTCGCTACAAGCCCTGTGTTGCATCAGGGGACCCCAAACCCTGAATCCTAAAACGCCTGGATAGGTATCATGGTTCGGAGCATGTGCCCAGAAAGCCCAGAATCCTTTAATTAAAGAATATACCCTCAATCATACTAGCAATGGAATTCTTTGATGGGGGGGACCACAGTCTTAGGGTGTAGGACCCACAATGTCCGGTTTTATGGGAATGGGGGGGGTTGTTGTTCCGCCTCTGTTTGATTTTGTCGTTCTTGCAATTGTGAACCGCTTTCTCCTTTACGTCGCAGCCAGAGATGCCATGACAGTGCGATGCATGCCTGCATGACTATGGCTTCTATCTTGTTCGTCATCATCTGATTTTCTGCTGTTGCCAGTATTGCTTCCATTATTGTTACGACAGGCATTGCTTCCACCATTGCTCATATGAAGGGGAGGATTCCTTCCTTTTTGTGCTGCGTGTCCAGCTTGTTTCCCTGGGGCAGGTAGTGTATTCTGTGATCATGATACTGAGTACGGTCGTGATGGTTGTTCTCCCAATTGCAATCTTTCCACGATGTCGCCCCGTGCGATAGTTTGAGATGGGATGTCGTCATATCCCTCCTGGAAATGCATCATAATCTGACGCGGTCTTGTTATGAATTATCCAGTCCGTTACGGTACTCTGGAAGCCCTGTGGAAGATTTGAAGACTAATGTTGAATTTCCATTACCCTTGATAATCTGACAGGGCCCCAAAGCTATCCTAGGTTGAAACCTTAAATCGTAGCTTCCATCTCCTTGCAAATATGATTATTTTATCCCCATAACCTTGAAACTTGAAGACCACACCATACTGCTGTAAACCCCTCCCCCAAATTAAACAACTGAATCCTCAACCCTGAACCCCAAACCCTAAACCCTAAATCCTGAGCCTAAGCCCCAAACCCTAAATCCTCGCACCTCGGTCAAGGCCAAGGCGGACAGTGTGATGTGTTTCCCTCAGTCTTTTCGACCTGGTGCATAAACGTGATAGTTTCCCAAGAATTGGGGGGGCCCCAATACAGACACTAAAATGCTATAATCCTTATTCTAGGGACTCCCCCCACAAGTATACCTAACTTAGGGTTGCGGTTTCCCAAAGTAGGGGTTTAGGGTTTAAGGTTTAGGGCGTTTAGGATTGAGGGTTTATACGGTTTAGGGGGTCTGTAGGGATATAGGGTCTATACAGAGGTCATATAGGAAAAAGAAAGTTTAGGGATGCAGGTTGCCAAAAGTTGGGGGTCCATTTCAATGGGGCTTGCAGGGGTTATGAGTGGAATATCTGCGTCAGCATTCATGGGTCACCCCCCCTTCCCTCCAGGTTCCGGGGCTTTGTGGTTTCAATTACGTAGAGGATAGCGGAGAATGAGCTGGACAAGCAAAAGGAGCTGCCATGTTTATTTAGGGATTTATAGGGATCAGGTTTTCCACAGCTTAGAGGTATTGTTTCGGGGCCTTCTAGAATGTGGATTATAGTACTATGGCATCTACATCAGGGCCCCTGTTTGTGGAAACTACCAAATGGGGCTTTTCCCAAAATTAAGAACCCTTTTAAAGAGGGTTATATAGGGTTACACAGGGGAGATATGGGCGGGGTATGGGTTTCTTTTCATTTCACGTCTTTTGGCGGTCCCCTTGAGGATGATAGTCCTTCGGGGATATACTCAGGAAAACCTTCGTTTTTGGAAATACAAGGGTTGATCCTATGGGCATGTGCGGCGTGTGGCGGTCTTGGCAACCAAAATACAACATGTGCTGCTCCTAAACCTCAAACCCTGATCCCTAAACCCTACACCCTAAACAATCTAGGTATTCAGGGTACAGCAAGGCAAGGTTAGGTTTGACACTAATTTCTGGTATTATCTCACATTCTTGTACAATCCCCATGCAGCCATAATGGTGTGTGTGTGTATATGTTTTTTTTTTTGTTTAATAGGGCCACCCAAACCTAACCCAGGCAAAGGGCCCACAATTTGGTGAATCACCCATATACAAAAGTCCACTCTGTCATTGTTCTTTGCTCAGGTCTCAGATGCAACAGAGAGCAAGAGGTCCCTGTGCCGAGTCCTCATTTGGGGCTGCACAAAAAAGATTGGGCTCCCTTTCTGCAGTGTTTGTAGCAAGTACCTGGAGGGTCAAGGCGACTGAGTAGGTATACTGATGACCCCTACATGCCATATGGTAACCCCAGTCCTCCCGATTATTAACCTACTCACCAACTCCCCCTGACCCCTCCAAGTATGGATAACCATAAAGGCGTTGCTACGTGCGTAGAAGGGTCCGCATTTTGATTTAGTGCCTTGCTTTGGTTTGTTGACTGCAAGCGGGTCAGGTAGCTTCGGCTTGTTTTCCACAACAAACACCCGAAGCCCAAACGTGCATAGCAGGGTGTAAGGTTGAGAGATTCGGGTCTAGGGTCTAGGGGTTGTATACAACACATATTTACTTCCCAAAGGAACTGTACCCTGCTTGCTGTGAGGCGAATGCGTTGACAGCGAAAATCTAACGAGGTAAGAGCCTGTAGTCTCTTTTAGTTACTAGTTTAGCGAACACTAGTGTTTGGAGATAAGCCTACTTAGGTTTCATGTTGGATGCTGCACCCACCAAGTAAGGCTTGGATAACAGTCATAATTTCAGTATATTGCCTGAATATGACTTCTATTATAAGTCGTTACCGGGTGGGGGCAATACGTTACACACCCTAAACCTGAAGGTTTAACATTGCAATCTTTGCAGCTGCTTGGAAGGTTCTTGTGGGAGCCTGGTCCGGTTTCATATAGCCCGAGACTCCAATATAATGGATTCCCCTACTGCAACCCCCCCCCCCATACTTTCTCGTACTGCTTAAAGTAAGGTTTTCCAAAGATCTGATTAAGAGAATCCATGATACTGAGGAAAGATCCACAAATCATACTACTTAAGAATCCCGGTGGTGCAAGGCATGTAATCGCACTCCAGTTTCACTACTAGATTCCAGGTCCTAGACATAAATCCAGACTCTACATGAGCTATAATTCGTCTACACTCCTTAAAGGGGGGTTATATAGGATTATATAGCGGAGTAGCATCAGGGTTATTAAGGGGGATATTCGGAGTTTAGATAAGCCCACAATCTGAACTGAGACTCTAAATGCTAGCTTCCATTCCATTTTCCATTCCCCGTATACAATCCATGTAAAACCTCTATACAACCCCCCTCCACCCTGAACCCAAAATAATATTTCCTAAGCCTTTATGTAAACCGCAAGTCTTTCCCATTCAGCTTGTACAATCCCGACAGAAGCTCTATATAATATCCTAAACCCCCAAACCCAGAACCTTAATTCCGAAGCCCTTCTGTAAACCCCAAACGCTAGTTTCCATAAATAAGGGGACCCCAAACTAGACCCCCAGACACTGGAGCCTTTTTCTAAAACCCCCAATGTTGGGAGATAAGGCTTCCTTTTTTAGGGAATCTACCCAATCTCCATAACCCCAAACCCTGAACACTAAACTCTGATCCCTGAAACCTGAACCCGAAACCCAGCAAAGGTCCGACCCAACAAAAGCCAAACCCAAAACCGTCCTTCCAAAGCCCTTCTGTAAACCCCAAATGGGGGTTTCCCAAAATTAGGGGTACCATTTTGGGGGTCCTTGTAACAAGGCTTATGGTATTTTGGGGTCTATGTTGGGTTCCCTTGTTTTGGGAAACTACCAAATCCCCTAAA